ACATAAGCCTTTAGATCCCGCTATATTTTACCGTAGAACAGTATAGAATTTTCTGGAACCTTCTAGATTACATTTAATATCATCATCGAAACGTGTGCAAAATGTCTACGTAATTATTTTTCGAATAGAAATCATGCTACAACAAAATGCCAAAACTATAACTACTATTGATTTAAGTTAAAAGAGGGGGGGACCCAGTGGTCTCGATTTTGGTATGCCTAAAAATCATTCATGTAAATGAAACATTTAAAATGAAATATTTGTTATCCCATTAAAATTTGTTGAAATTTATATGATCGAACTTTCTTGAAATTTCTAGACCAATCCCGAGTGGAGGGAATCTGATAACATTTCAAGTCACCGATATTTCATCAAGGACTTTTTAAGAGTATGACTAACAAGCTTGGCCTAGATTGATCAACTCCCCATGAGGCTATTATTATTTAACAAATACCACCATATTTATGTAGTTTATATAAGGGAAAATGCGAAGTATTAACACCCCCTTTTCACCACCCTAGTATTACGACCCCAGTTTCACCACACTAGTGTTATGAATAAGGATCTTAAGAGGAAAGACAATCCGCCCTAGGCTGCCATGAAATTTATGAACGTCACTCTCAGACTTCCCCTTAAGCACCCCACCACAATTCAGGGAGGAAGCGTCCGGTCTTCGTAATACAGTGGTCTGAAAACCGCGACTCGCGAGCCGCAGGCGGCTCTTTTAGTGACCTGAGTGCGGCTCGGCCTGTCGGCCACAAATCGGTTTTGAATCCGAAAAACATGGTTCTTGATTGGTTCTTGAAAAGAAATTTTTGCTCTCGAACTTTTTTTAATCGTCCATCTGCTGATTTTTGGCTCTTTTGACTAATGACCTCTGCATGAACGTATCAACCAAATTACATACATTCAGTATCAGTCCAGCATTACTTTTACAGTATCGAATAAAGGAAAGAATAAAGTAACAATTGTATGATACTGTTACGCACTGACTTATATTGGGAGAAATTAATCTCCTATTTTAATTTTAATTGGCTCGTTGTAAACAGTGCCTAACAAAGGACGATACCATAGAGTCAACAATATTGAAGATACGACCCAAAACAGTTTCTAGTTACAATTAATAAGATTTATTAAGTCTTAACATAATAAGAAAGAAAAAATAATTACAATCTTCAACTTACAGTATGGTAGATCTCGTACCGGTACACAGTTAACACAGTTAGAATAATGCGCCATTAAATAATGCGAAATAAACACATATGAGCCCACAAATACACAAAGAATAAAACACGCCTCATAACGTTAATAAATCTATCTGAATCTCCGTCTCTCCGTCCGTGCCTGTCAATCCCTTATATAGGTCGCGTAAGCCCTGCCTTCCAGAAAACTTATGACGTTTCTAGAACAATCACATTCATTCTACAAAATTCTTCTTGGAACAGATTAATTATTTTTAGTAGCTGGCGGCATAAACACGAAGAGATCAAAGGACTAAGCCACGCCCCTCTGTGAACACAGCGTCTCATGCGGGGTCAATCAGAGGGCACGCACGAGAAAAATAATGTAAACAAGGTCTCTATAACAATACCCAACAGACACATGGGTGGCATTGTTTTACGGTTCAGGCGTATTTCATGAGCCAGCGCGTTAATACAATTTTTAGGGCAGTAATTTTATCTTACGCATAGCCCTTCCCACAACCACACGGGACACAAGAAGTATGATCAATCTTATAAAAGTAATCTCAATTCTATGCCATTGTACATTGTGTTGTATCTCCTATTCCAGCGGCTCCCATACATCTTGATTGGAAAGTTCATGAGTACCCTATCTGTATTGAAATATAGCCGGTTGTAAAAAAAGCCTTGTTAATTTTTAACGTTTTTCGTGATCGTCGATATAATTTTTGCGTATCCCCAGGTGATCCCCCCTCAAGCAGAGGCGTAGCGAGGGAGGGGCAGGGGAGACAGATGTCCCCGGGCGCAAGCTAGTTAGGGGCGCCAAATTGTGCTTTGATATTATATTATTGGTAAAAATAATGGGTTTGAGAGTTGAAAAAAAGAAAAGGGGGCGCTTTAAAATGGATCTTGTCCCGGGCGCGAATCTTGTCCCGGGCGCCAAACACCCTCGCTACGCCTCTGCCCCTTAGTGTTACGCGTACAGCATGATGGGAAACGCTTTCTTGTTCAATTACATTACTTCCTCTCTTATTTGGCTTTAAATCCATTCAATTAATTCTCTAAGTGGTCTTACGGCGTCAACCATCATCTAAAATATTATCTATGATGTAACATTATGGAAAAAAATAAAATTTCTAATAATTCTTTGTTTGAAATTCTTTTTCGTGTTGTATTTGTATGTGTTTAAATTATGTGTTTTGTTGTTTGTATTCTGAACATTTAAATTGGAATAAAACTTGGCTTTTTATTATGTTTTTCAAAATGAAAAAAAACACTAGAAAATTGAATGTGGTTGTACCAGATGCAATGACATAGAAGGAACACATCTAAAAGTGCTAAATGGCAAGTATATACAATATAAAACTACTTATTATCACTGTATGTTTATTTGCCACTTCTTCTTCTTCTTCTTGTATATCTTAAGGGCCCACGATCAATTTATTGATCATTTTGGCTCCTTCAACTATTCACATGCAATCGCTTAAACATGTAAAGAACTTTTTGAAAATTATTATATTGTTCGATAAAGGTAATGACATTGTCACTGCTGCTTTGAAAGAAACTAGATTAATGGGTTAACAGTCCGATTCAATGCCGTTTCAAAATGATCCTCATGGAATGACGCTCAAGATTACTTAGCCTACCAGCCTTTTACTTCAACTGGTGATAATTGGTTATAGACTAATATTTTAAGGACAAACAATGAGATAACGATTTCGTTATTTAGATTAATAAAAGTGTTTGAGATAAATCATCTCTGGATGATTGAAAAGTCAAAGGCTTGTAAATCCTCCACAAGGGTCATATGACTATGCGACGACATTTTCAAAAGGATAGATAAATCCCCCCCCCCACATACACCAACCAACGCATGGCTCATCAACAAATGCTCACCCACATATTCATCACCAACACACGACCAACCAAAATATTATGTTGGCCACCAACTCATTCTCCTCCAAATACTTGCAATCGCACTCTTTGAAATAAATTACCAAATGTTAATCTTCTTCCCATGAAACAAAAGATTAGCATTGTGAAATTTAAAAAAATGAAAAGCAAGTAGATTTATTGTCTATCAATTCAATCTCTCCAGGGCGTTAGCAAGAATTGTAAGCTTGAAGAGATGTTTACTGTTGTGATGAGCATCTGGTACATCCAGTGGCGTAGTTAGGGGGTGTGGGGAGTGCGGACCGCACCTGGTGACACCATCTCATGGTTGTTGTTTTTTTTTGGGGGGTGACACCAAATTGAAAAATTGCATATTTACAGAAAACATACTGCTCTGTCTAATCATATTTCATCAAAGGATAACCGATCACATGTCAATTTTTCCACAAATGTAACCAATCCAAGTTTTACGGTGACGTGTATCGATTTTTCATGAAGATCAGGAAAGGAAAATCTTAAATGAAGTAAACTTAATGTAAAAACTGAAATTCCAATATCAATGACCCTCTTGTCTTTAATCTTTCACAACACGTCCTAATGTAAAAAAAAATTTACACAACTGCTATCAGGTCTGAAAAGTTCAACATTTAAGGAAACGTGCCAAATATACATTGTGACAAAGCAAAAATCACGACAGACAATAGAGACTCAGATAGCATTGCTTGGGGTTTAGACGTATTGCAGGAGCCACCAATGCGAGGGAAAATTTCTAAACACACGGCGGGGATCTTGAACCTATTTCTGAAACACGTGACCCCCTAGCACACCGCAACCACGCAACCATTGTTCCTCTCTAAGTTGACTCTTATTTCTATATTTCTTTTCCAAGTTTAATGATGTATTACTTTCAATCAATTCTACACTTGAGTTCTTGGAAGAAAACCATATTATTATTTTTTTAATAATATCTATTGCCCGATTCAAGACATCGAAAATTTAAAATTTCTGAAAATGAATGATTTGGGGGATTTTATTATTTTTTTTTCAAAAATAAAAAAAAAAAAGTTAAATATAATATTTTTTTTGTATTGAAATACTCAACAACAAAAAATAGATTATAAAAATTGCAATGACGCCAAACGATACCACTAAATGAATTGATGGCAGACGAATACTCATCCAATACACCATTAAATACTTAAATGTTTTTAGCACTTCGAGACACTTCTCATGCAATCGTATTACAGTTTGAAGTACTTTAGAACAGCGTCCCCCAAACTTTTAAGTTTGGTGGACCGTTGGACGATGTTGCATCAAGGACCGGTTACATGTTAATTTTGGTGTTGTTTTTTTTTTGTTTTGTTGTTTTTTTTTGTTGGTTTTTTTTTTTGGGTTGACAATAATCGTTCAAGTTGTTTTCGGACCGTCAAACTAAAAAAAAGCTCGTGGACCGCCATTTGGGAAATGCTGCTTTAGTCAAAGAGTCGACTTGTTCTTTGGTATACTTATTTATTACTGACTTAATGGCCATGTTTTATACCAGTTTGAAACAAATTTAGATCAACAATTCCGTGTCCCATTGACGACACTCTCGTGGTGAGCATCACGGTGCAGCGTTCCAACCAAACCTACCTGCCTTTCTGTTTGTTTCTGTTTGGCCACAGTTGTACTTTAAAGATTAGCAAAGCAAACGTGTCAGACAACTTTCAAGGTATTAAATTTATTGGGTTAAGACAATTACCTTTCCAGTACGACCACACACAAACGCTTGCAACATAACAACGTGATAGTGGGAAGAGAGGTGCCATTGGGAGCCAACAGTGCCCTTGTTAAGTGGGTCAGGTTTCCTTAAAAAGTTGGTCAATCAATATTCATGTCGAATGTGTTCACTGAATTGTAAATACGTCCTAATAGACCCGTTACTACCTTGTAAGCCAGTGTTTCTCAGCCTTCCTAATTCCGTGACACCTTAATACAGTTCGCCATGTTGTGGTGATCCCCCAATCATCTAATTTTTTTGAGTTGCCTCTTCATAAATATAATGTGTTTTCCGATGGTCTTACGCGATCCCTGTGTAAGAGTCATTCGACCCTCAAAGGGGTCGAGACCCAAAGGTTGAAAACCGCTGTTGTAAGCGATATTTTTAACTGTTGCATGTTTCGGCTTTCTAAGAAATTGCATAAAACAGTAGCCCAATACTTGACAATATAAGAAACAAAAGGGGACCCCCATATGCCAGGAAGAACTTGTCATACTTCAAACGGTGTACCGGTAAGTAGGGAGCTTTTTTTTATTATGAGTATCTAATCAAACGGTAACCCGTTCGTCTGTGGACCTATTTGAAACGGCCTTTAATCATTATACGCTTTGAAATTCAAATAATAATCCATTTATATAACATGATACTTCATAATCATATACTCGGACTTTTAATGCATTTTTTGGTGTTGTAAAGGGGGGGGGGCAATAGATTAAGAAAACAGAGAGGTTATTCGCAGTCGGATGCATAGAACGCCTCTTTTAAGAAAGGGATTTCGGCTGCGAAGGCTTAAATTTGCTTACGATCTAAGTGATTTGTAAAGCTAAGCATCCGAATAAATCAAGATTTAGTTTTTGAGAGAATGTACGATGTAGGCAGTGGTCATTGTGGACGTGTAAAATCAAGCAGTGTTAAAATTTAATTAACAAATTAAGATGAAGCTACTATAATTTTATTTTTAAACAGAAACGTCAATTTATTTAATTTCAAAAACAAAAATAATATCTATAATGATCTGTTAGTGGAGTGTTAGAATTTGAGTAAGCTTCTCGTGGAGTGAGAAGTATATAATAAGATGTAATGAAATGAACCCAGATAGGGTGAGGATTTTCTCTAGCGTAGTTTGTTAAGGCATGTGATGAAGAATGAGAATTAGGGATATGTAGTCAAAATGAAATTACATATAGTGAAAAGAAATAGGATTTACTGAGGTTTAGCGATATTAACGAGACACTCTGAGACAGTTTCAGTGACATGACTTCTTCTCAGAAGTAGTGAGATATGTTGTGATAAACGAGATATCGTAAGATGCCATGAGATGTAGGGAAACGTGAGATAATTTATCGTTATGATATAAGATGATTTGTAGTGAGAAATGTTTTCAGCTCTAGCGACGTGAAAGCCTAACAGATTAGAGTTCGAGATTTACTACTTTTAAATAGCGTCAAAAGGCCGCGGTGACCTTAATTTTTTAGCGTGGAGACATTTTATAAATTTAATCTGCTGAGAAAATATTTATGGAGCCGCAGCAGGGTCGATCTTATGTAATGAAAATACCAGCATTTATTAATTCAACGGGTCGCATGTAGTCCGCGTGTAGTCGACCTTTGACTTCAAAACTGAAAGACTTCCTGGTTAACTGGAACATGAAGGCATTCCCATGGCTGAGACAGACTTTGGCCGAATGGTCGCTCTATTAAAAATAAAAAAATTGATCAAAGTATAAAAATAAATCCCTTGTCATGTCTGAGGGAAATGCTAAACTGGCACATAATTGTCAATCCATTTAAAAGGTACTAATAAAGACATTTAAAAAGACAAAAACGCCAAGTCTATGCTAGTGGCAAAGCACGACGACACACCTGTGTCATGGGTGGCCAGTCTTTTGTTAAAGCGCTTACTCCACTGCAGCGCTTCCCACAGTGTGGTATGCGTACCCCTGGAGGGTCGTGGAAGCGTTGGGTTGGGCTACGCGCTGCAGAGGAAATATTAAATTATATTTTTTTTTATTTATTAAAGTAAATGCAATTTAATAAAGGAGGGGTACTCAGTGTTACGAAAAAATTATAGACAGGAGTACACAGATGACGAAAGTTTGGGAAACTCTGCTCTACTATACTGAAAACAGGCAATGTCACCCCCCCCCTTTTTTTAATTTTATACTTTGGAAAATCCTCTCCTAGGAATTCTGGCAACATAAATAATGCGATTTTATACGCCCAAAATCACAATATAAAAATTGTTAAGGGAAAGCTTTACGTTATTATATATATATATATATATATATATATATATATATATGATAAGCACAAATGAAAAAAAAATACTTATAATAATCAACCTACCTGAAATAATTAACTTTGCTAAATATTTACAAGTTTTACCATAGTCAAAAATGAGAGAAAATGTGTTAAGTAGAAAGGTCTACGAATTTTTATTGGTTATCTAAACTGTTCATTTTAATAAATCGGTTATAAACAGTATTATTATGTAAAGAAGACATGAGTTGTTTACAACATTGTAGAAATATCCCAATATTCAGTTGATTGTTTTTTTTTTTAATTTTAAACTACTGTAACTTTTTCAGATAAATTAAACATTGCCACTTAGATGTATTTTAAAACATCTCCCCCCCCCCCATTTCCACACACACACACACAAATCCACAGAATTTATTTTACATTGAAAAATTAGATATAAGAATGTATTCTCAAACAAGATTTTTTTTTTAAAAATGGAATTGGCATGATAATGGAAATGCTAATTCATCTTCTTTACTTTAGCTTTGTGACCTATTCTCATCTTTGCAATCCTTTCAAACAGATAGGGCAGTTAGTTTTCATTCTAATATTAAAAAGATAAAAGCTGGTGGAAATTTAATAAACATTTGAAAAAATATTTTGTTAAACCTCTGTTATTCAGGAAACTTTGTTACCAACGTAGCATGTTTAAAGAAAACACACATCTTCTTGAATAAATAATGAATGAACTTTGAACTTTTTGTATGCGCCCGTTAAATTCTTAATTTTTAAAAAAGATATCGTTCAATGTTTTCGTTTTTTTAAATTTTATATCCCTCAGCGTTAATGGAATCAAGTACATTTATAGTTATGCCAGTAAAAATATATTTTTTAAAGCCTAATATCATCATACAATTTATAATTACTCATATCCATACGTTTTAAATAATGCTTTTGTAATGAACTATAATTAGAACATAGACTGCGTACGTTTGATACTTGGCAAGAAATATTATTAGAGCAGTAGTCCTTGAGCTTGATGTAAAGGTAATGTAATACAGCGTTATTAAAGTCTAAAAATTTGTGAATTTACAACAACAAAAAATGTATGAATAAAAATACCGAAAGTGCAAACAACGGGAAGTGAGTTTTGGGCTGATAGTCAGAAGCAGCCGGTACGATATTTATAATAGAAAACTATAAGCTATTCACAAGACTAGCCTTAAGTATACAAATCATCAAATATATCAAGCGTAGCGATATTGAAAAGATTCCACTAATTATAAATCGGATAAAGCACCAGTTACTATTATTTTTAAAACTGTTTAGAAATGACAATTTAGTCGTTTTTAATTTTAAAAATATATAATCGTTCTATTGCATTTACCCATTTTTGCTTGGGGTTTAGACACTTGGGGGGGGGCACTTGACTTTCCCCGGGGGGGGGGGGAAGTGCCCCCTCCCCGTAGAGATACCTGAAAGAAACCCTGCCCCTCGGATTAAAAAAATAGTAAAACTTTTCAAATGAATTTTTTGCAGCACACTGGACTCGTGTCATTTTTTTAAACAAAACTTTCAATTTAATGACAAAATGGAAAGCGGGGGGAAAAAACCCATGAATGGAAGGGGGGGGGGGGGAAGTGCCCCCTCCCCGTAGAGATACCTGAAAGAAACCCTGCTCCTCGGATTAAAAAAATAGTAAAACTTTTCAAATGAATTCTTTGCAGCACACTGGCATCGTGTCATTTTTTTAAACAAAACTTTCAATTTAATGACAAAATGGACAGCGTGGAGAAAAAACCCATGAATGGATCTCTGGCGTCAAGGATACGAAAGAACTTGTCGTTTATTGAAGAAGACGTTGATACCAACGACCTGATAACATCTTTGATTGCCGATGGTGTAAATATTGCTTGTTGTTTAGCTGACGTGTTTTTTACACTCATCAATAATTTGGTAGTTGGTGGAGTCCCTTGTAGTTGTTATTGAACTTTAAGGAAAAGAATATAATTTCTGTTTGTTAGGAACCTATTCGTTTTTTTTAAATCTAGTTTAGCCGTAGTCTTATTGTTCTTAACCTTTTCATTCCTTTTTTTTTTTACGTTGCACCTTTAATGGAGATCTTTTAACCAGCGTCCCATGTCTGAGAAAGGTGAAATGATTTAGCAGAATTTTTTTTTCTAATCCACCTCCTCCCCTACACCGAATTTTTTTATTACCTCAACCTCACCGCCTTTACGTCACGCCCATTTATTCCCGTCAGATTATTGATTTTAATGATAAAGAGCTGATTTCGAAAGCCGGCACCAAAAAAGAGAGGGCAATTTATCTTGTGTCACTCCTGATGAGCCGCGGTGACAGGGCATACGATTGCTTTCTGGAGGCGCTAAGAAAGGCAAAGTACACACACATCGTTGACAAGGTATCAGACGTTTCAATCAGGAACCGCGAAACCAGTGATCTCGGAGCAGGGGCCTCTCATGAAAATCTTGGTAACTTGAGATGAGTTTTAAATTTCGATATTTACAAATCTCAATACCACATGGCTCCCTCATTTAAAATATTTTTTTTTAAATATTTATTTTAGTTTAAAAAATATATAAATATTATTTTGTTTCCTTTTTGCGTTTTTTTTTAAACCAAATATACAAAAATACATTGTTCTATATAATTATACAGATACATACTTTTACTTGCTAAATAATAACAGGGTCCCTACCTGCCGGCATTGTAGCCTCGTCCCAGAAACACTAGCGCATCAGTAACGCGTGTCCCTCACGAGATGTTTCTGGGGAGGCCAGGGTGGTGGGTGAGCCCTACGGGAGGACAATGTTGTATGGCTCGGCTCAGCTGATGGAGCAGGTAGCCAATTTACTAGCCGGTGTCATAAGAGAGTAATCTCAGTACCCTCACCAGAATATGTGCGT